AAGACTTCAGCGAACACACTCAAATACCAAAAATCCATCGACCTGAAATTTGCTGACTCCTGAAATCTGCACAACCTCTTAAAATGTAAACATTCAGTTTATAGGCTCAGGAAACTGTAATATGGAGAACAAAATACTAAAGAAAAGAGAAATACTTAACAAATCATTGACATAATGGTAAAAATTTTCATCCTCTTCAATATGCATCAAGGTAAAGAAGCAGATGACTTCACTCAACTTCTCTTTCAAATTCACAACTCACTTGGGTGTATTTTCTGAGCTTTGTTATTTCATGAGATTGTTTAGTGCTGCTGTTTTGTTTTATCCAGATTTTTTTTTTTTTTTTAGATAAAATTTAAATATCTTTAATTTTAGCGCTTCTTGACAGACAGGTCATGATTTTACTGCTTGCAATGTTTAAAAACATAAACATGTCGCAGTGACAATTATAAAATAAGTGGAAATTTTGCAAAAGACGAAGGGAGGTGCTACTGCTTGCTCAATTTATAGCAGAATCATGTTATGACACAGAACCGTACTTGATATACGTAAAAATAAAGAAAAGCTGTTGAAATTTTACAGGAGCAGTGATTCTAACACTACAATTTAAAACCAGAAATCTTTGCACGAGTCAAAATTGGCAAATTTGGTGCTACTTTGGTAGACGGTTGCACGGATTTTTGGCGATTTACGTTGGCCGAATTGTTGGCGCAATTTTTACAAACGTCAGCCATCTTGAAAAACGCTGTTTTTACGCATAGTAAAGTATTCGAAACTTAAAAAATAAATAAATAAATATAGTTAAAAGTAATGGATTAATTTTTTGTTGAAAACGTCCTTTTTTAAGATGGCAGGCAAGTGTAAATAAATACATTTACTATGATTATAAAATACTAAAGTAAGGTTATTATTACTTTCATATAGCAAAGAAGAGAATAAAAACATTGGGCCAACGTTTAATTAGATTAAAATATTACTGAAATTGAATATCGAATTAAAAACCATCATACCAACATTTAAAAGAATTAGAATATTATTAAATTCAAATACTTTAAAATACGTTATATAGAATATAATTAACATTAAAACATATGGACAATAATTATCTCAGCAATTTCTGAAAATAGTGTATTAATTTTTTTAACAAAAATTGAAGTATACAATTATAAAATAAAAGAAAAATATGTACTTACATTTTTTTGAGTGTTTAACCTGTTGTTTATTGATAAGTACCACAATAAAAAATCAGAATCATAATTTAGATAACATCTTTGAAGACATCTTTGAAGGAATTCGAAGATATAAATTAAATTTTAAAACGGCGCGAAAATGCACAAATTGTCAGTAACCAATCAGGGAGCTGAATACAACTCGTTAATGCACAAATATTCTATAACCAATCAGAGAGCTTATTACATCACGCCTAGAATTAAAATTATTTAAAAATTCATACATAATAAAATCATTTTTTAAAAAAATGCAAAATTAAATTGTATTTTAATATTTAAGAGCCATAAATAATGTTTAAAACATTAGATTAAATTTATACATATTAAAACGAATTACTTTTAAAGTAAGGTGACGTCATTGATTACATCATCCACAACATAAAATTTCATAAAATATGATAAACAATAAAATTTTTATTTCAAATAAAAATGCAAAATTAAATTGATTTTTAATATTTAAAAGCCATAAATAATATTTTAAACACGGAATTTATGCACAATAAAATGCACTAGTTTTTAAATGAAATGACAACAAAGTATCGGTTACCATAAATAACTTATCCAGCAATGGGTTTACCATAAGTTCTATTACTCGCCAAAGGAAAATCGCCAAAATCCGTGCAACCGTCTACCAAAGTAGCACCGCAAATTTCAATGCTGTCTTGAACGAGTGGTTCCCACAGTGACGGGGTACCAATTTCAGGAGTGCTCTTGAGAGAAAAAGGAAAGCAGATTCATACTAATTTAAAAATAGAGGAGATATGCAGTTTGCTAAACAGATTTAAGCACGGTATATATTATCTGAAAGCCTATGGGAGACAACCTTCAGCAGATAAAGATGCTGAAGAGAAATTTATTGATGAATTTTTTGTGCTAGTGTTAAAAGCCCAGAACAGATTTTTAATATGGACGAGACTGGACTTTATTGGCAATGTTTACCAAGAAAGATATTTGTGACAAGCAAAGGAAAAGCATCATTAGCAGTGAAAGGAGCTAAAGAGTTCATTAGTATTTTAGTATGATGAAACTTACGAATGTAAACGAATGGCATTGGGCAAGAACACCAATCCCAGAACTCTGAAAGGAGTAAAAACTTTACCTGAGATTTACAGGAATAATAAAAATTCCTGATTCACGGAACAACTTATGACCCAATGGTTTCATGGCACATTTTGTTAAAGAGGCTAGAAGGCATTGTAATAGTGTAAGATTACAATCAAATGGCAAGATTTTGCTACTATTAGATAAGGATTAGATTGGCCCAACCAATAGACCAGGGCATAATGCACAGTATTAAATAGCACTATTAATTAAAATTTTTAAAGAAAATTCTCTCAAGAAATCATTCTATTCCACTTTGTGATTATAAAAAAAAATTTCACCATTAAAGACTGCAATTATTTTGTTAGCAGAATTGTGGAACTCTACTTCCTAACCAACATTAGTAAATGGCTGGTGTAATGTATGGCCAGCTTCATTGTTTATTGAAAGAGTGCAATGAGAGTGAATTTTCTGATTTTACGGTCAGTGCAGCAAAGGTTAAAACAAGAGAATTGCTTCTGTATTCAAAAGAAAGAACAAATGAGAAGGTTTTGCAAGAAGATAATGTTAAAATGGATGACGTATCCAGATGAGCCAATACTGGTATATCAGATGACCGCTAATGAAATTATTAGCTCTGTTTTGAACTTGACACTGCAAGAAAACGATTCTGACACTGATACGAATAGTGAATTTGATAGGAATGAGGAAGCATGTGTTAATGAAGGTTTTGAACATGGTGAAAAATGCCTAAAAGCAAAGGAAAAGCATCATTAGCATCATTCTTAGGATAACATAGCTGTGTCACAGAGCAAAAGATTATGAGACTACTCAGTTTTCAAAAAAAATTTTTTTTTTTTTTTTTTTTACTCTGAAAAAACCTAAAATTTTAAAACTCTATCAGAAAAATATTTGAAACATGTAAAGAAAAATGAAATACTTTATCAATGTTCCTTATTTTCATATGTCTTTGTCATGCATGCCCTGAATGCTTGTATATATGCTTATTTATTTTGCACTTTTAGTCTAAATAATTTACCTTTTCTGTCCTCTGGTCTTCTACTGTAATCATTTTAGAAAATTAAAATTAGCTAAACCAAAATTAAATTGTCTAAATAGGAAAGTTATCTTGGACATATCACATCTCTGCTTTTCTTGCTAGCCAGATTGCTGTCACTGCTTTTTGCTACAACAGTTTAAAAATGTAAAAGTTCTTAAAGAATATAATAACTGCACTAATTTATGAATGATGCATTGAAATCGTTCATCAATGACAAGAAAAAATATTACACGGGATCATGAATACATCTTTATGCATCTATGCCATCAGTTTCCAAATTTTCATACATGCACACACACACGCATACATTCCACACGTTCAAGCATCTGCAATTGTGACTTATTCTAGACTACTTCCAATTAAACTCACAATTGCATCTCTCACAGACTCAGATAGCAAGTATGGTAATTCAACACTTAGGTTCTATCAGTTTTTTTTTTTTTTTTTTTTTTTTTTTTTTTTTTTTTTCAGTGTGTGCATGTGTTTCAGTATAACACAATACTCTTCCTTATTAAAATTTTGAAATTCCTATTAATACATCCCTAAAATGCATGTTATCATATACGTCTGCACAAGAAGAGAGAAATGTTCTCATAAACAGTGAACTCGTGGATATTTGTCATGTCTTCAGTTTATAGCATTCTTAAGAAAAATAAATATAAAAAAACATGAAAACATAACCTTCACAATAATCTATTAATACTCGAGCAAAATATTTTTATGCATAACTTTATTATCAGGAAAGTAAAATATGTTTATTTTACAATATACAATATGTTTATTTTAGAACAGATACAAAACAAAATCATTATATTTCTATTATTTGACTTTATTGTTCAGTTCTGTGGCTATCATTACAGCTGTTTTAAAGGGGAGTGTACAGAGTATATAAAACAACTGTAACAATAAACAGAGCTGGACAGTGATCTCTTAAAGAATTAAAAGAACTCATAAGATTAAAATAATGATTTTGTTTCAAAATGTTTCATTTTAAAATGAGACAAAATTTTTTTTTCTTATAAAACACTGGCTCCATCTTTTCACAGCTATATACTTTCATTCTCCATATATTTAAAAAATACATCACTTTTTAGTCCAATGGGGCTTTGTCCCTGAAGGACTATTGTTTTCGTTTTGCGATTTTGCATCAAATCACTCTGAATGTCCGTTTCACTTTTTAAACTCTTGCCACCCAATATTATTGCCCTGTGTTACATTTGAAGAAATTAAATAATGAAGAATCTGCATAAATGTATGTATGTTTCTCGCATTGTGATAAAACAACAGTACCTAGAGCCATCCAATTTTGAATGACATAACCCTACTGCAAATATGGGCATCTGGAAGCCCAAATTTGGAAGTTGTTTTATTATCGATTTCATAATTTGTAAAACTTTAACGGATTTTTGATTTACAAACTCAAGGATTTCAAAGTGAGCAATGGCAACGTTGTACAGAAAAAAACATTTTTATCTCCAGCGTGCGCGACTGTGTATCGGAAATTCTAAAAATATGCTCAGTTTAAAATTATCTTGCGATATTGCTCTTGAACTGAATTTTATGGTTTAAGTGTGAAGAACATGATATTTAATAAAATAAAGGTAATACACAAAATGTTTAAAAAACTCCCCTTCAGACATACTTTAAAATCTAAAACCTTTCAGATTTTCTTTTCCTTTTTAAAATAAATTGTATTTATTTATTAAAAGTATTTAAAGTGAACTTCATTTACCTGCATATTACACTTTTGTTTCAATTTTTACCAATTTTTTGCAAATCAAATTTATGCAAGAATGACTTCTGACATACATCACATTCTTGAGGTTTTTAGAAGAAATCCCAGTAACATAATACTAATATAACTTATATAATGATTGTAAGGTTTTTTTTATATGAGTACATAGCATACCAGAGTTAACAAGATAACAAAGCAAGATATGAGCACATATTAATATCATCTAATTTTCCTATCTATAGGAGTTATATTGTGTACTTTTAATACATATTTTTTTGCACAAGATACCTCAATTCTGTTACAAGCTTTCTTTTCCCATATGTGCTTTCTGCGTATGTTCCTCTAATTTACTGTTCTGGAAAAATGATTTAGTACAAAAGTTACACTTATAAGGTTGTTCCTCCAAATGAATAAATTTATGTCGTCTCAGATCACTTTTTCTCGTGAAGGGCATATTGCAAGTTTGACAAACATTCGGCTTCTCACCCGTATGGGTAAGTATATGCTCATTCAATTCGCACTTTCGCAAATAAGATTTATTACATATATTGCATTCATGAGGTTTTATGCCGGAATGAATAAGTTTGTGCATCCGTAGCTCACCATGCCGCACAAACGATTTGTTACATATATCACAAACATGTGGTTTTTCACCTGTGTGAGTACACATATGATCTTGCAAACTAATTTTACGTGCATATGATTTGGTACATATGTTGCATAGATAAGGCTTCTCTCCTGTATGACTACGCATATGTGCCCGTAATTCACATCTCTGCACGTATGATTTATTACATATTTCACATATATGAAGCCTTTCGCCAGTATGAGTAAATGTGTGCTTCCTTAAAGCTCCTCTATCTGTAAAGGCCTTGAAACACACTTCACAGGAATATGGTTTTTCACCCGTATGAGTACGCATATGGCCACGCAATTCAGAGTTTGTCACAAATGATTTATTACATATGGCACAAGTATACGGTCTCACCCCAGCATGAATACGTAAGTGAATTTGCAACTTACAGTTTAACAAAAATGCCTTACCACATATAGTGCACATGTGCGGTTTCTCACCGGTGTGGGTGCGTACATGTACTTGTAAATCACCTTTCCGTACAAAGGATTTGCTACATATTTTACATGAATGAGGTTTCACACCATAATGCATCCGCATGTGAACAAGAAAATTAGATTTTACCCCAAATGATTTGTTGCAGATATTACATGTATGCAATTTCAAACCTGTGTGACAGCGCATATGCACTTGTAAATCTCGCTTCCATTTGTACGATTTTGTACATACGCTGCACTCATAAGGCTTTTCAGTAGAATGGACAATCATATGCTGTTGTAACTTATTCTTTTGCATAAATGGCTTACTGCATACATTGCATACATAAGGGTTTTCACCCCGATGTCTTCTCATATGAGCCAGAAAATCTGACTCTGTCATAAAGTCTTTGCTACATATGTTACATTCATGCACTCGCCCATCAGCATGAGTGTACATATGCAACTCCCAATCACTTTTTTGATTAAATTGTATATTGCATATATTACATGCATATTGATTTTCAGCTGTGTGGATATGTAAGTGTTTCTCTAGTTTATATTTCTGTATAAAAGATTTGTTACATATATGACACACATGAGGCTTTTCCCCCGTATGAAAACGCATATGCATCTGCAAATCAAATTTACGTAAGAATGACTTCTGACATACATCACATTCATGAGGTTTTTCAGTAAAAGGAACATATATAATTCTTTTAAATTTTTTCCCCAATAATAGCTTCCTCGCTGCATCACATGGGGGGTTTTTTTCAACTGTATCTGGAGGCATTTTTAATGTATATTGGTGAATAAGATATTCTCTAATTATATGCTATAAGCAACTGTTCTATTAATGCATAAAAAAGTGATAGCTTATGAGAGATGCATCAGGGAATTCAGTAAATATACCATGCCACATTACTTTAGTAATAAGTAAACATTGCTTTAGTAATAATAGTACATTGCTTTAGTAATAATCAATGCACTTGCACACATCCAAGATATATTTAATGTAAAATGTAAGTACATTTAACGCATTCGTTTTAAAAACTCTTAATATATATCTTAAATTTACATATTATACTTTCACATTATACAATGTCCATTGAAACTCTTCACCTGCAAAAACAGGCATTTTAAAATCATAAAATGCTTGAGTTTTATACTCCTTGCATCATACGAAAGAAGTTCCTTGTCAAAAAATCAAAAAAAAAAATTATAATTCCATGTCTAAATGTCTTATGTACTTAGACGTACACAAAGTGATCTTTGTATACGAACCTAATACTCCTGTGGTACACTTCTAAGGCAATATTACTCCATCCACTCATATGAATTTCTAGATATTAAGAGAATATAATATTTCTTCAGAATTTTAAGCAAACTAATTAAAGTTCAATTTATGTACGATTTTTCCAAGCTATTAAGATCTGCAAATAACATATGAAGTCACAAGTATTTACTGATATCTCGAATCTAATTCACACAATCTTTTTTTTTTTTTTTTTTTTTTTTTTTTTTTTCAAATATTTCGTATACGACATGAATACTGTACATAAATTTTTGTGATCTATACATTTCACATTTAAATTTTTTTTAAAAGAAAAGCTGACATGCAAACTAGGCAAATTTTTTTTTTCTTTTTTGCACATTGTAAGTCTTTCTGCCCGCTGGGTGAAACACAAGTGTAAATACAAAAAGAGAGGGCACAAACAAACACAAGAAAAGGCTGAGACTGTAGATGAACCAAAAGTAAATATGGGCCTCAGTTTAAAGAAAATGCAAGAGAAGTCTGACGTAATCCAACAATTGATGTGCAATAAACAATGTGTTCTATCAACAAAGTAGTACTGGCTGATATGTTGAACATACTAGCCCAATTTAAAAAATAAACAATTTACACACATACATTGCAAAAGAAACATTACTGCACGGACAGAGAGATTTGCATCCAAGAGAAACAAAATTGCACATAATTATCGCCCTCATTTTTCTGCGTGGCAACACTTCTGATATCAGCAATCATAGACGGGCATTTAAAGAAAACTCTAAAACTACAGACTAGACTTTAATGAGATGGCTAGTTTAGAGGAAGATAAGCCAAATAATCTATTTGTACATGAAAATTCTTGTAGTAAGACTTTTAAAGAAGAGTCTGATTTGCAAGTTAATAAAAGCCAGAAATCTGATACATGTTATGTAAGTGATAAATCATTTGCAGGGGAAGCAATTTTGTCAGAACATATGTTGGGCAGCGAAATGGAAAAGAGCAACGTATGTGGAGAGATATTTACTCAAAAAGTATTATTGCAAAAACATATGCAATCCCATGGAGGTAAAAAACGTCATGCATGTGAAATGTGTGACAAGACCTTTGCTTCAAGAACTACCTTAGAGGAACATTTACGCGTCCATACAGGTGAAAAACCGTATGTTTGTGATGTATGTGGGAAGTCTTCTTCACGAAGACAATTCCTACAATTACATATGCGTGTTCATACAGGTGAAAAGCCTTATGAATGTGATATATGTAATAAGAAATATAAAAAAAAGGATAATTTAAGATCGCACATGACTTGTCATAAACCTGAAAATGACGAGAAACCTCATGTTTGTCACACATGCAAAAAGGCATTTACTTCAGAATGGAATTTAAAGGATCATATGCAATCCCATTTAGGTAAAAAACGTCATGCATGTGAAATGTGTGACAAGACTTTTGCGGGAAGAACTGCTTTAGAGGATCATTTACGCGTCCATACTGGTGAAAAACCATATGTTTGTGATGTATGTGGAAAGTCTTCTGCACGAAGAACATTCCTACAATTACATATGCGTGTTCATACAGGTGAAAAGCCTTATGTATGTGATATATGTAATAATAAATATAAAACTATGCATAATTTAAGATTACATATGACTTGTCATATTCCTGAAAATGCTGAAAAACCTCATGTTTGTCACATATGCAAAAAGGCATTTACTTTAGAATGGAATTTAAAAGATCATATGCATACTCACAGAGCTAAGAAAGCTAAGAAACCTCATGTATGTGTTATGTGTGGCAAGACCTGTGGTACTAACTTTCTTCTACAGATTCACATGCGTATACATACAGGTGAAAAGCCATTTGAGTGTGACATGTGTGACAAGTCATTTAGGTCACAGCTTGTATTAAAGCAGCATAAACGTACACATTTACAACAGAAGCCTGAAATTAAAATTCATAAACGTGACCCTGTCCATATCATTCGTCATTCATATGAGTGTGATATGTGTGACAAGTCATTTGGGTCACGTATTGTATTAAAGCAGCATAAACGTACACATTTACCCCCGAAGCCCGAAATTAGTAAACGTGACCCTGTCCATATAATTTATTCTTGTGATATATGTGATAGATCTATTACATTGAAAGGAAGTATAAGGAAGCACATGGAGAGACACATGGTTGGAAATTTTTACGTATGTAAGAAATGTAATAAGTTATTTACACAAAAAGCTGATTTACGAACACACCTGCAAATTAGTAAAGGGGAGAAAAGTTCTCCCTGTGACAGATGTAGTAAAGCATTTAGGTACAAATGTGCATTAGAAATGCATAGTCTTGTACATGCCACTAAAAAGCAACAGGTGCAGTATGTACCCATAAGGAAAAAAACTGATTAAGAAAAAAAAAATTTATAAATTGTTTTTATGCCAACATGAATGACATAATTTTATAGAAGACGTAATTTTTATATATATGTATATAAAAGTACAAGGCAAAGATAAGATAGCACTTTTCGATAATATGGCAGATTCCTAACACTAGTAAAATGTCTAAGAATATTAAATGCAGACTTCTGAATTTCTCTGGGTAGGTGACACAAAGGCAATTAGTGAAAAGTATTTGCATATTAATATCCAAATTTGGAGCATTCTAAATAATGGAAATTCTAATACTGCCAGGTAGTAAAAACTATATTGTAACTGTTTGTTGAAATGATCTATACAGTATAAAGTCCGTAATATGGACGTTCATTATCCGGAATGATCTATAATCTGGACCTCAAAGCCACAAACTTTATGCAATCACGTAAAGAATGCTTTGCGCAAGTATGCGTTAAAAGAAACGTTTAATAAAGTAAACAAATAAATATTTATCTTTTTTTTTTTTTTTTTTTTTTTTTTTTTTTTTTTTTTTTTTTTTTTTTTTTTTTTTTTTTTTTTTTTGTAAAATTTGATACCTTTTAGATCATAATTGCTCTTTATTTCATAAATTATGGTATGCCATCTTACCAGATTTAGGTTAGGATTTTTAATTACGGCAAGCCTCAAGCTTCGCCTAAGGGGGGATGCCTTGATCTTACATTATGGTACTTGGCTTTTTTTGGCAAAAATTTGGCGACCAACTCTTCTCAGCAGCACCCTCTTCTATTTTTTTTCCCGCCGCCATTTTGTCTTCACGAAGTAAAACATGTTTCTTTCTTTTCTTTTTATCTACTGAACACTTCTTTTCCACACAATCTACTAGCCGAATTACACTGATGCTAGAAATTTATCTAACAAAACTGCTTAATCATGACAAATATTCACTGCAAAATTGGGAAAAAGTGCACAATACCATACTCCTTACGCGTTTTTCAAAATACACATACACATAAACCATGTACACGCCGACTTATTTTTTACTTAAAAAAACATCCAGAATTACACAAAAAAATGGCATTGCGCACACTCTTCACCATATCCATGTACACCGCTTTTTCTCATAAATTAGAAAAATTTCACGAAAATACATGACAATTTTCCGAAATCTTTAAACCGGTAAAAAACATATATGAAATTACCCGATCGCGAAAAAGTATTTACCTTTTCCAAATATGAACATTTCCACATATAAATAAATAAAATATCCAAAAACTTTTACCTCTAAATCAGCTATTACATTATACACGTCACCAACGAATCATACCGCAAGCATTACAAATATTTAGTATCAAATATTTAATTATTTCCATGCCGTTTACTTCAACTAACGGATACCAATTCCTACAAACATAAAATTCACAAAAATATCATTTAATTAAATATAATTAAATTCAAAAAAAAACACTACTTAAAAATAAATGAGCACATACATTAAATTATAAAAATTACTTACAATCCTAATTACTTTAAACTAAATCATTGCTAATACAAGTTTCCCAATAATACCAAAATTCTTTCTTCCACCCTTACATTTAGAGCAATGCATAAAAATAATATCCTCAAATAATAAAAATACTAACTTACCTATCTTCTTCAGAATCTTGATTCGTGTCCGATAACTTTTCTTCTTTCTGTTTCAGGATCTTTAAAATCAACTTATATTTCACAGCAAGGTACCAGGTAAAATAAATAACTTAATAAAACTCTTATTTCTATCCGCACAACTAAAGAAACATTTATTCTACCTTTTTTCAATACCACTAAATACCCATTTCGAATTCACTTAGTTTACGGCCATGGGATCCAAAAAATTCACGAACACTGTTTCACACAACACAGAATAAGCCAAATACAAAATTTCCGATTTTTTTCCCGATTTCCCCCCTTTTCCGATTAAAGAACCGTAATTCGTCCATTAATTCACATGACAATCCCATATCTCATTTCCCTTCTCAAAATAATGCGTAATCGAACTGAGTACTCTCACATTATTACCAAAGTCCCAGGTAGTAACCTTTATTGCCTCCGAAATGTCACCAAACTACCAGTTACCATATTGTAAAGATCAACCGGGATGCCTTCATGGAGGACTTTCTAAGGGAAACTGGCTCGTATACACGTTACACATGGTGAAAACCACGAAAACACCCATGCAGCCAGCCCGTTTGCCTTACCAGATTTAAATTAATGATCTATAATCCGGAAGAACCCCTAATCCAGAATTGCTAAGTCCTGACAACTCCGGATTACGGACTTTGTACTGTATATAATTACCGGGTGCTAATTTGGTAGACGGTTGCATGGATTTTGGCGTTTTTTGGCGAGCGATACAACTTATGGTAAACCCATTGCTAGACAAGTTGTTTATGGTAACCGATACTTTGTTATCATTTTATTTGAAATATGCATTTTATATGCATAAATCCAGTTTTAAATATTTTTATGACTTCAAATAATAAAATGAATTTAATTTTTGTTTTTTATTGAATAATTTTATTGTTTGATATTTTATGGAATTTTCGTTGTGAATGATGTAAAGAATGACGTCACATTATTTTTAAAGTAATTGGTTTTATAATTCTTAATTTAATCTAATATTTAAAACATTATTTATGGTTGTTAAATATTAAAATACAATTTAATTTTGCATTTTTTTAAATATGAATTTTATTATGAATGATTATTTAATAATTTTATTCTATGCGTGAGGTAATCTGCTCCCTGATTGTTACTGAATATTTGTGCATTACCACGCCATTTTAAAATTTTATTATTCATCTCTTCGAATTCCTCGATTTCAAAGCGAATGAATGTGTCCGTTTCGAATATAATGTTGTTATTGTAATTACCAAGAATTATTGGTATCGAATTAAAAAAACTGCCGTTTGAGACCTTATTTTGGCCACCTGGCTTTCCTAATCAAAATTTATTTATAAATTGTTAATAGCATCAGAGGAATTTATTTAAATTTTTGACAAAACATGGTAATTGCTTCTTCGTGAAGTGTGAAAGATGTGATCATACAGATGAAGATCGTTAGCGGACCTTTTTATTTTTTTTTTTTTTTTTGGTGGTACTTATCAATATAGACAGGTTAAAAAATTAAGTACATAATTTTCTTTTACTTCATAATTGTATGCTTCATTTTTATTAAAAATTAATACAATTTTTATAAAAAATTCCTGAGGTATTTATTGCCGCATATGTTTAATGTTAAATAATTAAATCCTATAAAACTTATTTTAAAGTATTTAGTAATATTTAATTCTTTTAAACGTTGGTATGATGTTTTTAATTTCATATCACTTTAAGTAATAGTTTAATTCAATTAAATGTTGCACATATTTTTATAGCGGTGTTTTATTCTATTATGAAATTAATTTACCTTACTTTAGCATTTTATAGTCTTAGTAAATGTATTTATTTACATTTGCCAGCCATCTTAAAAAACAACGTATTCAACCAAAAATTAATCCATTATTTTTAACGATATTTATTTTTTTTTTAAGTTTTGAATACTTTACTATATGCGTAAAATACGTAAAACAGCATCTTTCAAGATGGCTGACAACTGTAAAAACAGCGCCAACAATTGCGCCAATGTAAATAGCCAAAAATCCGTGCAACCGTCTACCAGAGTGGCACCAATTACCGAAATGGTTTTCTTGGTTAGGGACAAAAAAATCTGGTTAATCCTTGGATTATGGTAACTTGGCGATTTTTTGGCGACCAACCCTGCTAGTTTTTGATTGGACGCCATTTTGTTTTCACGAAGTAAAGGCATGTTTTTTTTTTTTTTTTTTTTTTTTCCCCTCAACACTTTTTTCCAACAATCTGCTAGCTGAATTACGCTTATGCTAGAACTTTTATGGAACAAAATGCTTAAATGACAAAGATTAGGTGCAAATTGAGAGAAAGTGCAGAATCGCCCACTGCTTGCCCGTTTTTAAGAATTGCACATACAACGGTATCATCCATGTACAAGTCGACCTTTTTCACTTGAAAAAACATCCCAGAATTCACAAAAAGGCATTGCGCACACTCTTGACTTTATCCATGTACACTGCTAAAGTCCTAGCTAGTAACCTTTATTGCTTTACCAAAATGTCGCCAAAATACCTGTTACCATATTCCAAAGATTAGCCAAAAATCCTTATTCATAAATAAATATTCTGTTTTCTGAAATGTAAATCCATGTTCAGTACTTGCACATTCTGTACTTTCTGATTTTTCAGTATCATACATATGTTGTGGTTTTAGTATATATGTTTTCATGCATTAGATCTTGCTTTTTATTAAGTATCCACACATGTACCATGCATAAAATATTCACGGAGCATTTTGTAACAAAAATTACAGGAAAGATCTATGAAGATTCCAGATGGTTGAGTATTAAAAAAGCCAAGTGAATGAGAAAAATTTGTGCTCTGAAATTATAAAAAAATCTTATTTGTTACCAACTTATATCAAAACCTTACATTTAGTGTACATTATTGATAATGGATTCCATGCGTGCTCATTTACTTGAGTCGGTGAAAAACCAGATGTCAAAAATTGTTTACGACCGTAGCAATAATTCCTGGTAGTTTGACAAAAATCTTACAATCATTAGATTTGTCAGTATAATCCTTCAAGCTGAGTCCGAAAGCGGTGGGGTGTTGGAGAGTGAAGTATTGCAGCTATACCAAAAGTGGTAAAGGCTTAGAGCATCTTATGAAGAAGTTGCAAAGTGGGTAGAAAATGCATGGAATCGGTAAAAACATCGTCATAATAGCAGGGTTCAAAGAAGCTGAAATTATATTCTTAGATAAAGAGACTGTAAACCCAGAGGATGACTGTGACGATCGGAAGACTTGGACTTAGATCAGGATTTACTAATCTTTTAATTCAGATAGTGAAGAATCAGATTTGATGGCTTCATATTATGTATAGTTTGCTGTAATTCGTTTTGGCCCAACTTATATTTCGTGTTTGCACATTTTTTATAATAAGTTTGAGTATTACAAATATGGACTTCTTAGTGGTAAATGTAGTATAAATGTGACGTAAATATATTTCAACATTTCTTATCTTTAATTATTTTGAGTTGTGGTTTCATTTCATGCATTTTTCTTAACTGATATGTCATATATCAGGACTTAGGTTGAGATTTTGCATCTAGACGGCCCACAACGATGTCACACGCAATTTAATCTATTGCGGCGTTTCTGTGTAATTTTTATTTTTTTGCCTGCTACTTTTCTCGATTGCGGCGTTTACGCTGATACAGCCTTTTTTTCCGGAAATTACGGTATTAAAAGTAAAAAAAAAAAAAGGATAAAATTCTAGTATACGATGCAGCCATGAAAAGATTTTTGAAAATTATCGCCAACACCAAAATAACATGTTATTACTCACTGTATATGTTGCATTTACTACTCATCATAAAATCGCCAGAAGTAGCCAAATCCTGTGTGTACTGTATACCAGGGTTAAACCAAAAAATGTTTTAAGTTGAAACGAATCTACTAAAATTA